TACCTAAAATACTTTTCAGTTCTCTATGTACTGTCTTAGAATAATATAAGCATAGTCATACAGAAAACTTTCTACATTCTAATGATTTTCAAATGAAGAAAGCTTTTTATTCACCTAGCTTTGGAATAGCACGTTTTACTCTAATTACTAACTTTGTCTCCATTATTTTTTAAAGATCAAATGGGCACAGTGGTAATTTTCATTAATCTCATACAGAGCAACTAATTAAAATTTCAGTTATTATCCATCCATTATCATTGCCATTAGTATCTGAACAGGATGTTAATAATAAGCCATTCTTGTATTACAGCCTATTAAGTACAGTGAGATTTAGTTTAATCTATTGCACTGTTTTGTTTCAGGGTTATTTCTTTAATATTACGTTGTGTCCAAGTGATTATGCTGAAGATACTCACACACTATGATGTTTCTTAAATACAGATTTCAGACTTAAATACCTGTTGCGTCAATTGTTTTTCAGTATTGGGAAAGTAGTCCAGAAAGGATAAATGAAGTATTAGAAGTTCAAAATATTTATACTTTAGTCCTGAAACCACACTACTTATGCTCAGTTGGCTCTTCCTTAGATTCTACTTTTTAAAAAAAAATGTGTAGTTTTGTCTGTCCTAGAACTCACGATGTGAACTAGACTGGCTTTTAACTCAGAGATCCACCTGCCTCTCTTTCCCAAGGACTGAGATGAGGTGCATCACAAGACTTTGCTGGGTTCTTTATTTCTGTAATGATAGTGTTAAAATAGTTGATTTTCAAGAATCATCCTAACCTTGACAAGCTATCATGTTTTGTAGTGTTCAAATGTAAACTTAGATTAAAACTCTAAAGTACTCTTAATTGTGAAAATGTTGTTCTATAACTATTGATTTTCTCTCTTACACATTAGCTTGTTTCCCTTCCTTATAGCAACCAGGTATCTAAATGATGTAACTTAAACTTTCTAAAATTGAGCATGTTGGTGTCATGCTGATAGTCATAACTGCTTGAGTGCCTGCAGAGACGGACTGTCAGAAATTTAAAGCCAGCCTTGGCTACATAGTAATTTCAAGAGAAATCTATACTACAGAATGAGCCCTGCTCACAAGAAAAGGAAAAGACAACAAAAACTAAGAACATATTTTTTAAAAATGTGGGTTTGTAGATGTGCAGAAGGGTGATTTCCATTATGATGTGCTAGTTGAGTGTCCATAAACAGCATGTCAGCCATGACCACTGGTGCCCATTAAAGTAATGCTATTAATTTTCCATTAGCAAGCGGAGTGAACATTTTCTGTATCTATGATAGGATACATACAAAGTCATCTTTTGAATATCTTTATATGAACCATCTTAAATAGAGACATATATTATGCCTATTCCATGCATGAGCAAAAATGTTATAAAGACTAGTACATTTTCCTGCCCAAAGGATGATACAATCAGGGGATGGTTCAAGCTAGGTAGTGAATTCTGAGTTTCCTTGGAATGCCAAGTGATATCTGAATTTACTTGTTGTGAAATCAGTTTCTCTGACCATCTTGTGCCCGAAAGTTTTACAAGATCATATTTTGAAGCAAATGTGTGTTAGACTTTTGGCCACTTTGTCAAATTCATGAGTCAAAAGGTAAAAGAGGGGAATCCTACATTGCTTCAAGTTTCAGAGTTTGGGGGTATGACTTTGAAAGATCTAACACGAGTTCTAATTGGTCTTGGTAATAAAACTCGGAGTCAAATATCAGGGGGTAAAAAGCTGAGGGATCAGAGAAACAGAGTGGCCAACCACTAGAGTTCTTACCTCTACAAATGCTCAGACCAAATGGATGACCGTGTCCTCAGATTGCCTCCTCAGATTGACTGCGTCCTCAGATTGACTGAACAGACTGAATGCCTAGACTGCATTGAGCTTCTGTCTCCTCCTGCCTTATATTCTTCTCTCTGTTAAGTCATATCACTCCTGTCTCCAACTCTATAAAAAGCATGTGATCCCAAGTACTAAGATCACCTTTGTGTGATCTTTATTTCGCTTTTAGGCTGGATCAATTTCATACAGCATAGGGTGGCCTTGAACTAACAACAGTCTGTCAGCCTCTGTCTCCTGAGTGCTGGGATTAAAGTTGTGTGCTACCATTGCCTGGTCTCTATGCCTAACTAGTGTTACTAGTTCTGTGCTCTGATCCTCAGGCAAGCTTTATTTGTTCGATAATAAACAAAGTATTACCACAGAAAGTATTTTCACCTGAGGGAAGGAAGCATCACTATATCCACGAACACATGTCAGAACATGAATGTTTCTACCATGGGCAACCGAAACAAAGAAAAATGATACCTTTCTAAGTCACACTTCCAGTGATTACTTTCTCAAATTAGTCCTCTGTTTTCATAATAGTCTGTTCAAAATTTTAATCTATTAACAGAGTATACTGTTGAGTAGGTCACATCCCTTATGATTGGAATGGTCACTGAAACGGCCTTTACAAGCATGCCCAAGAGTGTGCCTTGCTAATCTCTTGTGCTTCACCAGTATAACAATGAATATTAACTGTTCTTAGAAACTTAGCATATTCAAATGTGCCTATCATCCGTTCATTTGCTTATTACCAACCTATCTTTCCAGAATATATGTAGTGATGGTTTGTTCTGTGGATACAATGGTGAGCAGTGCAGGCAATATTCTTACCTGGTACAGCTTTTGTTATCATCAGTGAGGCAGTTGATCATAATATACTTCTGTAAAGCAAATCATTTACATATTATGAGGATACTTTGAACATGGAAATGACAATACTATTGTGGTGAGACTTCTTTGATTAGACCAACAGTGAGGACTTGGACTTGATCTTCCAGATGAAGAAAAGACAAAATATAAAAGAACTCTACACAAAAGCTTCCCAAATGGATCAGTGTGACCTATTATCTAAAAAGTAAATTTGAAGATTCCATGAATGTAGTATCTGACTATAAACTTGTCAAGTTTAGTATTTTATATTACTAGTCTTCAGAGTAATGTGTGTAGCATATTATTTTTACCTATTGTTACTGAAGGATTTTGTAGTGCCATAGAAAGTGAGAGAGATAATTACCAAGATAAAAGTGTAATATAAAAATTATGCTATAGGTAATTTGGTGTTATAGAGATGGGTAGATCAATGAAAGGAATTAATAAATCCTTTCAAAGCTAGTTGTTTTTTCATTTTGTTTTCTTAACTATGCATTAAATGTGATCATTCTGTAGTTAGCTTGGACTTTGGAATAAAACAAGAAAATTCAGCTTAAAAGTGTGCATCTGCTGTTTTGGAATTATTATAGATAAATTAAAAATAGTACTTAGTTTTTAATTTTGTTTCAATTCAGAAAATATGTTATTATGATGTTCTCAATAGAAAAAAGACACAAATAATGACTTTAAACACACCATTTTAAGTGCACTTATAATGATAATATTGCCATAATACAGTTGGGAAGTAATATTCCTGACATGTTGGAAGATAATTGTAGGCCTTTAATGTATTAATGGGATTTCAAATTTAGAATATTTGGCAAATGTTTACATTAAGGAGGGATTCCCAATGAAAAGTCAAATAGTATGAAATGATAGACAATCTATTTTTTTATTATTGGAACATTATTGAAAAAATTTCCCTCTCTTCTAGTGATATGAATTCCAGACACTTGGGGAAACTTGCTTCGATTCTTAGCAGACAGTCAGTATAATTTATGTGAACTTAGAAGATGATAATCAAGCTGTAATTTTAGTTCAAAAGAATTTTATCCTATTATAGAAATTATGCGGTTAAGATTAGTTATGCCACAGGACAGTGGTGGCCCACACCTTTAATCCCAGCTCTGAGGTGTCAGAAGCAGGTGGACCTCTGAGTTTGAGGGTAACTGAGTCTACAGAGCAAGTTCCGGACAGCCTGAACTACACAGAGAAATCCTGTCTCAAAAAATTAAGGATAGAACAAAAAGATTTCTTTCTCTGGAAGATGAAACTATTACTTATTAAATTGGTGAACATGTTGATACTTTCATTTTAGCTTTTTCCATGAACTATATATATATGGTTGTAACAAGGTGACAAAGTTAAGGAGCTGTGATGAGCTAATGAGTTTTAGAAATGTCTTTATTTACACTGAAAATTAAACTAAAACCTACTTGCTATCTGATAAGCGTATTCAATGACTTTTAAAGATTGTTCTACAACATGGTTGTAACAGGTGACTAGCTGGAAATTATATCCTTTAGAATGATTCAATTAATTAGCCTGCTAATTGGAGACTGTATGTTTTATACTTTAATAACTGTATATGTTTTTAAAATATAGTGATATTCTGTTATCTTTCAATATATTTAGGATATGTATAATATTGTATATTAAAATTTCTCTTCTTCAGTTCATAAAACTTAATATAAATGTTAACTTGCAACTACAAAATTGATAACCTGATTTAACAATGTTTATTTTATGAGTTGAGGAGAAACAGTTAATATTAATCCTAATAATTGGAATATAAGTTTAAATAGCTCTGGCAATAACACTTCTTGCTATTCACATCAGTGTTATTTTCAGGCTGTGGACACCAGCTAGTATAATTTTCTTTCTTTTAAAGGGACTGAGGAGAATTTTGTATCATACACAATAATCTTATCACTCAGTTCTTTGAGGAATTTTTGATTTGGGAATTTAACATGGAGGTAGAGTGTTTATCTACCATGTTTAACACCCTGAGTCCCATTTATGATATTTAAAAAAGAGGGAAGGACCATAGCACTCACACAAAGTAAAATATTGATATAATTTTTATTTTTGTAATTAAAATTACTTTTATTTTTTAAATTGGCACTCAATGCTTGAGATGTCAATATTGTTTATGTGAGAAGACTGTATTAAAACATTTGTTGGAAAATGTCATAGTGTTATTTTTATAGTCTGTGTTTTATTTTACATTTAAGATTTAAAAGAAACCCTTTCTTCCTTTTTAAAGTGGAATATTCTGCTTGCTTTATAGGGTGGCCTGAAAAACAGCAAGCATGAATGCACTCTGTCTTCACAAGAATATGTTCACGAATTGCGATCAGGTATCTCAGATGAGAAACTTCTCAACTGTCTGGAATCTCTGAGGGTTTCCTTAACCAGCAATCCTGTCAGGTAGGCGGTTCTTATCATTTTGATAGGATTCATACATTTTGCTTTTTATATAGATATTTGGTATAATCAGATATGCTACTTTAACCTCATGATATTTCTGTCCAGAAGTATATTATCATCTAACAGAAGAGCAATATCTGATTTTCACGTTCTAAATATTTAAAAACATGCTTAACTAACCTGATATTTAATAATGTTTGATTTAAAAATATAGATAAATTGTTGAATATTTATTTCCTTTTTGAGAAGGAGTTAAATGCAGAAGTTAAATATTGACATTTGCTTGTTAGTCTATTTGTGTACCCAGATAATTATTATTTATATGCAAAACACATTAATTACATTGGCATAAAATTCTTTTTATACTTATATATAAGCATATATATTATTTCATATTATATTTATGTTTTCCATGGACTACCCACATATATTTTTATAACTTTGAAATAGACCAAACTACTTTTTGCCAATAAAAAATGGACACTATCAATAAACTTCTTATTACTTTAAACATTCATTTAACTGTCTTCCAGGTGTTTATTAAGAGGCAGGTCCTTGATAACAATGGATTTGAATAATTCTTTATTGAAAGTAAGAAGACTTAAAATTAGTAATACCCAAAATAATACTTTTTGAAGAATAATAGATCTCAATGTAACATTGTAGTATTCTGGAGTCTACATACTAAATTATCACCATTTTGAGTTCAGAATTTACTAAAATAGAGTATATAAAGAAACTATAATTATATTTGTGTTTCCCTATATTTAAAGATGCATATATCGCATTCAATACCTTTTACATAGAAATCTGAATTTCAAGAATGAGGTCTGACATCTCAGTCATTTAAATGGAATTAGGTATAAATTCCAATATATTATTTATTTATAATCATACTATACTTGGCAAAATTGGAAAATTATAATTTCATAATAAGCACAGTGTTACTGTGTGACATGGTTTGGGCTATAAGAATTTTTCAGTGGTCGCATCTTGCCAGTTCTAAAATAGTATGCTTTTACGTTTTAGTAATCTCATTAAAATGTTTGAGATCTTTATTAATTTTTATTTTGTACCATCTCCCTTTGTATGCTAGACTAGAATGGAACTCACAACATCACTCAGCCTGTCCTGGAGTGTGGGATAATTCTCCTAGAATGGCTTCCTCAATTCTAAGCCACCATACCTAGCATGGATATGCCTTATCTGAGAACAGAAACCAGAATGCACTCCCAATATCAATAGGAGCTGCAGTGCCCTTCCATTTTAAACACTGACAGTCACAAATATGTTCTATTGAACAGCTAATGGAAGAAAGTGGATATGAACTTTTTATGGTGAAGCTTGTCTGTGTTTTAGCCATTATTAAATGAGTCTGTGAGATTACCTGCTTCCAAGTCTGCCTGGGCAGTAGTATATAAAACTCGTTATATACTCTTATATAAACTAAGCCCTCAAAAACAAAACAAAACCAAAATCCGTGGAAGTTCAGGCATTCAGGGATGGAGCCATGGCTCACTGGTTAAAGAGTGTTTGGTGCTCTTACAAGGGACACCACTTCTGTTTCTAGCAACAATTCTGAATGGCTCACTTCCACCAGTAACTCCCATCTTGGAGGGATCCAACACCTGATTTTGGCTTCTGCTATTTTGGGCACACATCTGCACAGATGCACATACAAAATAAAAATTAAAAAAACACTCCAAATTGTGATATTAAATAATTGAAAGACTAATACATATTTTTCCTAGTCAAATGTATGTTTATAAAGACACCAGATAGTGCTTGATATTACATATTGGGGGTTTTGTTTTTTCATGAGCCAACCTTCTTTCCTTCTTTCTTTCTTTCCTTCCTCCCTCCCTCCCTCCCTCCTTCCTTCCTTCCTTCCTTCCTTCCTTCCTTCCTTCCTTCCTTCCTTCCTTCCTCCCTCCCTCCCTCCTTCCTCCCTCCCTCCTTTCTTCCTTCCCTTCTTCTTCTTCTTCTTCTTCTTCTTCTTCTTCTTCTTCTTCTTCTTCTTCTTCTTCTTCTTCTTCTTCTTCTTCTTCCTCTTCCTCCTCCTCCTCCTCCTCCTCCTCCTCCTCCTCCTC